GGGCTCGATCCCAGGACCCTGGGATCACGACCTAAGCCGAAGGCAGACGCTTAATGACTGAGCCACCCAGGCGCCCCTCAAGTTTTCTGTTTTCAAAAAGCTCGTTACATAATCTAGTAGAGACTTAAATGTCAAATTTGATATGAAACACTTTATGAGATTATCTGAATAAAAACAGAGCTCTACACATACCTGCTCACATATAAATTTTTCATATGGTCCACACAGCTTGTCCCTGAATTCATACACATATTCCTCCACTGCATTTTTAGCATCGTTTCTTTCCTTTTCCAATTTATCCTGCATTATCATCTTACCCTGTCAGAGAAGAGAAAAGATTAATTTCAGCTTTGGTCTTCTATTACCTGTAACTAAATGTTAACTAGACTCTAGTGTTAAAATCAACAATTACACACACACACAAAAATTAGTGTTAACAGTTCTAATTTATACGTCATAAAGCTTATAACAAATCTTACAAAGTTCTTCATTTACTAAAATACACATAGTGGGTTGTGATTTTTTTTTAATTATATAATAAATTACACGCTTTTGCATCTCGGGTTTAATACCAAGAAGGAAAAAACCCAATTCACTATAATTTTCCTTTTAGGTAGTTATATGGTTGTCTCATATTGGGATTAATATTGGCCAATATATAATCGTCATAGGACGCTGCAACCGTATTTGAGATCAAGGGCTTTAAGTAAATTTATTTATCCACTTACTTAGGAAATATTAATGAGATGTAATTTATTATTAAGTTTCAAAACACAATGTTGCCATCTCAATAAAACAAAACAATAAAACCTAATCTCAAATGTTTTCACATATTCTAGACTACAAAAAAGCACAATGTATTTTAACAGAAATATTTAGTGTTGCCTGAGACACCAACTGTACTGTGCCCGGTGCTAGGACATAGTGGCATCCAAGTTCTTCCAAGACCTTGGGCAACCAATTATATACCAAGCAGAATGATCTAGGGTATCGATCTCGTTCATAAGGATGCAAAAGTGTAAACAACACTCGGTAAAAAAAATTAAACTGAAGATTCATCCTAGTCCTAAAAACTGTATAAGACGTGGGATATGGGAAAGAAGTACAGCTATTTCTCTATCAGAAGTATGGGTAACAGGGCCAACCAACTGAATACATTCCAGGATGGAAAATAATTACCTGAAGTACTTACCTCTGTCTCAATATACATGTTAAGAAGGTCTTTCCCTAATTGCCAGACCAAGTTGGCTTCAATAGGCAGCTCAACATTCACCACCTTTATTTTGGGCTTTTTGGCTTCTGGAGGCTGGTCAACTTTCTTTTCATTTGCCTTAGGAAGGGGTAAAAAAGAAATGGAAAAATTCCTAAATAATTCTTGAAAACAACAACAAAATCTCCCTACCACACTTACTAAAAATAAAATCCCTAAAATCCTAAATTGGAGGAGTGAAGATCATCTAATTCCCACCCACTCATTTTAAACGGGGCTGCAATTACAACTTGAACATGTCATATTCTCTCTCAAGAATTCACCAGGATATTTTTCTCTTTGCATGTTAAACTTAAATTCAATCTTTCCTGCTAAAACTCTTCTTCATAGATCTTTAATTTTTAAGCCCTGTAAGCAATGTCTAGGACTCCAAAAAAAGTCAAAACTATTATTAAATTACCACATCTTTAAATAACAGTCTAGAATCTAACAGTAACTCAAATACACTGTGACCAATGCTAAACACATTAGGATCACTTTCTATTTCTCCTCTATACTTGAGTCCCTCTAGCCCACTATTATACCTGCTTCAGTTACAATTAGCACTATACTGGTGAGTGCCTTTTAAAGTTTCCTATTGAATTTGGGGATTATGTACATACACACATACGTACATGTATGTACATATGCAGATAAATATCCTTATTCCTACTATCTGCCTTTGAGTCATACCCCTTTTCAAAGCAAACGTAAGGTAGAAAGAAACAAAAGAACCTTAAAATAGAAAATGAAATGACGCAGCAAATGCTAACAGTTCACTGCAGGTTTTTCAAAATATGTAAATACAGGGCTAAAGAAGTAAGTATCTCCTATGGCCTTTAATTTTCCAAGACTTTTCTATGTATTTCCATTTCTACAGGTTCCTACTAGCTGAGATGACAAAGAACACAATTTAGGAAACTCAGCCGGATACCCTGGCTGGCTGGGATGGTCAAATAGGAAGGACTAGCCCATCAGTACAATGAGCACCGCCACTGGATAATTCTGGGAAGTTAAAAGGTTGTTAGAATTCTAGGCACTTCATAGAAGAAACTGGGACTTGAAAAAAGTTCAGTGGCTTGCCTAAAATGACAAAGACAGAGATGGGACTAGAACTCATGTTTCTCAGACTTCTAGTTCAGTATTCCTCAAAGTCAGATGTCTCAGAAGTGTAGCCAGCTGTCTCACCAGCAAGGATCTAGTCAATCAGCCTGCAGTCCCCATGTCTTCTTCACTCTAGCACACACGAGAACCCCCCATTATACTGTGCATGCTCTGGGGGCACAGACCACAAGGAAAATGAATTAGAGGACACCCACACCTCGCCAAAAAACAGGAGTACAACAGATATTTGGGAAACAAATCGATGACAGTACACGTGTGACAGTTAAAGTCAGAATAAGACTCTGACAGTACATTAAACCAACTACTGACTAAACCGATATATCACAAAATGGCACTCGACAAGGGATGGATGAAGAACCCTGCAAAGGGGTGTGTGAGAATGTTCCAAAGGGCTTGACACTAGCGGTCCCACCTACAACAAAGAACATGAGATGGTGCTCAATGTCATGTTCCAGACAGGCACTGAGACTAACAGCACAAGCCCATTAATACTCAACACTAAGTGAGGGGAGGGGTGGGACATTAAGGAGCTGTTGTCCCAAAGAAAGCCATGCTGCTCCACCATCATCATCACAGAACTCTTTTAAGAGGAGAAAAAGGCAGCTTTCAGAGTCAGGAACTAAAGCTCATATTAGGATCCCCACAGGACTGGAAACTTTTACCACCAAGTGGAAAATGTATTTTGGCCAAAGAACAATTCTGCAATTCATCTAAAGGTAAGAAAAAACCAAACCACTAATGAAAGGTTAACAACTTACATGCAATCTGTACAAAGAGTGAAGTTCTGAAAAGCACAGAATGATCTACAGTAACAATGTAAACTTCCCAGTATCTATCTGACCATGAATTTTAAAGGTTTGATTAGAAGCTGTCATTTTTCAAGGGACAAAGCACAAATATTTAATTAAGCTTCCAATACATATTGTGGAAGCATGGCAAAGAAAAATGACTTTGAAGTACAATCTGATTATTAGCAGACCATCATAATTAATTTAATTTTGGCAGGTGATTTGAGAGGAGAAAAAGGTTTACTAAACTCCTATAGCCCGTGTATTTATCATCAGACTAATTCAAGTGAAAACTCATCACACAGCCCTGGGAATGTATCTATTTCTGCCCTCACATTAGCAGATACCTCGGGCACTACAGAAGACAAGAAATGCCATGCATTTGCCTCTTGTTGCTTGGAGTAGCAGTTAATCAAGAGAAGCTTTTAGGTCTAAAGCAGAATATTCAATTCTCTTAGTTGAGCTTGAGTACCTCCAATTTTAATTGAAAAACACAAACAACTAAAAGAAAAACCCTATACAGAATAAGATAACTTGGTGCTTGCTCTTGAAACTGCAGATTTAATGATATCATTAATGATCACATGTTGCAACATTGTCTAAAGGAATGAACTAGAAGAGTCACTCACTTTGTCAGCATCTGGGATTTTGTTTTCTTCTGAGGTAAGTTCAGGTGAAGGGGGAGACTGTGAGGTTTGTTGACCATCAGTTTGTACCTGGGGCTGTGTTCCAGCTTCACTGTTGTCTTGCTGGATATTTTTCTGAAATGAAAGCCCAGGCACAAAGGATGTAGAAAGCAGGTGTACTTATATAAATTTAAAAGGTTAGAGGGCACCAAAGACCGTACACTCCATTTTTGAAATCTTTATAGGTGGGGGAGAAAAGATACTGGATAAAAGCAAAATAAACACAAAATATTTGAAAACTCCTTACAAATCTTAAACCTGTAAGAAATTCTTTGAATGAGAGCAGTTAATATTGTTAAATAACCAAGCAGTAGGCATTTTGATTGATGTGGTGACAATCAAGAACTCTCCTTTAAGAAACTTTGATCTAGCCTTGTACAGCTATTAACTCTCAAAAGCACAAGAGATAGGTTTACTCCAGGCCTCTCTCCCAGAAACAAGATTCCAAAACTTAAATTCACCAGCAGCCATCAGCATCTCAACATATCACCATTTCAATGACCTGAACAGTTGCATAAAAAAGCCAACTATCAGTCAGTCGTTCAGGGATTCATCATTTCAGCTTACAGATACCCAAGACTCCTTCTGTCCCCACCTTCTTTTTGTGATCCAGCTATTTCCACCTCAGAAGATGTCAGGATAAAGAATATATGCTACATGTTAGTAGACCTCTCCATTCCCGATAAATCAGTGCTTGCACTAGTCGTTTCCCATCTTTGGGAGAAGGCTGAAACATTCTAATTTAACTACTTTCTGTCCACCCTGAAGTCTCTCAAATTTTTCTTTCAGAGCTTCAAGATTAAGTATTCAGAAACAAGGCACTCATGATGTAAACAGATCCAAAAGGTACTAAGAGATTGATAAAAAAGGCATTAGAATAATGGTGTCCGTAGCCAAATGGAAAAGTATACGGCACTGGTCATTTAACGCATGCATTATTTTGAAATTTTTAAAAATGATAACAAAGCTAAGGCTCAGATATTAATGTTCCTTAAATGTTCTAGGAATAATAGTGGTAACAGTTGTCTGACCACAGGATACCACACTTTCTCACATCTTGACTAAAACACTGTTCACTTGCCTCTTCATTTAAGCTATTTCTGATTATTATCCAGAAGTAAATTCCAATAGCTAATCTATTTTAAAGTTTCTTAAAATTCTTCTGCACTCATGCTAATTGGAAGAACATGAACAGTAACAACTTTCTTTCTATACTCCATGCAGATACTTCTTTTCCTTCCCTCCCATAATATAACAAATCATGTAAATAAAATGAAGTTAAGTCCTGAAATACCAAAGCCAATTTTGCAGTAATTTAAGAATCAGCTTTAATATTTGGTATATGTTCCAAATTAATATTTTTAAGTCTTTTTCTTTTTTTCTTAATCATCAGTCAAAACTGCCTTCTCAATATGTGGTCAATGCCTTTAAAAAAAAACTATTATTTTGTAACAAGTTATTACACTCTTATTATTTTGTAATGTGCCAGTTCAAATTAACTGTATAGAATTTAAGCATAATTCACCAAATTCTGGGCCATATGTTATCATCATCTAGCAACTGCTATCATCATTCCCCAAAATTCTAAATAAAATTAAGAAAAACATATCTGAACCCTTCCCTACTCTTTTCCTATAGAGTTAACTATATATTCCAACTCACAGGCTTATTATTCACACACTTACATCAGTGTCCGAGTTTTCTGCTGGTCTCTGATTTGGACAGTCCATGTCTGCTTCAACAGAAGACCCTTCATTCTCCTCAGCGGGGATTTTCTCCACCATAGATGCTGTAGAGATGGTGAAAATGCCATGCGTATTGACTCGCACTTTGACTTTCACTCTAGATTTTTCTCCATCTTTCTGCGCAGAAACATTCTGAACTATGAAACGGCCTAGAACAAAAAGAAATTGGCAATTTTTGAAGTGAATCTAAATGTCTGTAAAGAAGACAAAGACCAAGAAATATAGCTTCACAGTATTGCTATTCCCAAATCTTCCCATTTTCTCTACTAACTGAATTAAGATATATACTATTAACATAAAATAAACTTAGTTGTATGGTATTACTTCAATACTTGGAATTAGTCTTAATATGCTGTAAAACCTTCAAAGGCAAGGCACTCTTGTGATTGTTTTTATTTAACACAGATACTGTAAGATAAGATAACAAGAAGTCCCTGCCTCCTCCTACCCTATTTCTCCAGATGGGTAAGCACAAACTAGACATGAAAATCTGTTAGCTAGTATAAGGCAGAGATCTCATATGATACCAAGAACCGGATGCATTTTAATCCTACAGGGTCTTTAGGGAATACTTTTTCTGACTGAATAATCAAAACATTTTCCTAGGTCTTAAATAGGAGAGGTTTTGATAAAACCTGTTACCAAAGCCTAAAATTATTATGCAAAATACAGCAGTTCCAGAGCATTACTGAGTAGGAGTTAAAAGTATGGACTCTGACCCAGTCTCTGGGCTTGAATCCTGGCCATGTAACCTACTGCAAGTTATTTCAGTTATCTATGCTTCTGTGGACTGAGCTGGTGTTTACAATGAGCATGTAAAACTGCAGTACCAAGTGCTACGTGTTAGCTGTATCATCTCCACTAATAGCCTTCTTATTCCAGAGGCCACTAAACCAAAATTAAGTATTCTGAATCTAGTATGTGTAAAATACTATATGGGATTTGACATTTTTATATTTAAGGTGCTGTTTACACAAACACAGAAAGTTACAGATTTAATTACCAGGTCAGTGAAAGATGTTGGAGTAAACGTTCAATAATTATCAAATCACTGGAGCTCAGGAAACGATTACTGTAAGACCCATTTAAAGAAACAGCATTTACTGTGGGGTATCCGAGATGAGTTAGAGGACGGAGAGAGATGTAAGATCGTTCTTTAAGTATGTGCGAGCTTTTCAGTTTTGGTGATAACATATTGATTTGGTGTCATACTAAAAAGCTTCGATTTTATCCTTTGCACGATGGGAAATTAACGCATAGAATCCAACCTATTAAAATTTCTCTCTATTCAACAATTTCTCAAGCTAATTTCCTAGCAATAAATTCGTAAAAACTGTTTAAAAACAAAACAAAAAAAACAACAAAAAACCTCTCCTGTGCCGAACATTTTTAGTCTTAAGTGGTAAGAAAGAAAACACAACTGGTTAGGTTAGACTTCTTCAAACAACTTCGTTATGAAAAAGTATGGGGCAACGGTGAGTCCTGAACAGATCTTGCAATATTGGCAAACTTTACCCTCAGCCTGGGAAAGACACACGGCCACTCAGGAAGAGATCTGTAGCTCTCCCATAAATTTCCAGTTAGTAAGAGTCAAAACAGATGGAGAGTGCCAAACCTCTCAAGGAAAAATGTACCAAAAAAGATGTACTTTTAAAAGAGATTACAATGTATGGTGATTAACATAATAAAATAAAATTTAAAAAAGAGAGAGATTACAATAGAAAGGTACATTTGAGAAGCTACTGCGATGGTTTCTGAGCCAGGTTTTAAATTAGAAGTAACAACAACAACAACAACAAAAATAAAAAAAAAAATTAGAAGTAACATTCCATCTAGAAGAAAGGTTAATATTAAAAACAGGTGGTAATCCTTTAAGTAGAGACTGTATCAGAAGAGAAAAAAGACTGACATGTTCCTAAACACAGATACGTGGACATAACAGCAGCACTAAGCAAGTCGTTCCATCTTTACAGGCCAACTTATTCATCAATAAAAGGAAGAGATTTCTTCATCACCATTATTGTAAATTGACAACGTCTTTACATGGAATTATGTTCTACTCAACGTCACTGAGAAGAAAAATTTTTACTTTGGTACACTAAGTCTTTAAAAGCGTAAACACACAAAATTAATTGCTTACCTATTTTTGCTTCTGGATATGGAACTCCTTGAGGATCAGAATAGAAAGCTTCTAGCTCAAAAGGTCCCCTTCTCAAGAAAGTGAGAACTTTGGAGAAAGGAGCCGCATGGTTTCGACTAAATACTTCATGGACCCTAGAGGAAAGGAAAAGGCATTCAGTATTCCAAGCACTTAAGCTTACTATGCTACACAAAATGCAATAAATGCTCTGAAATCTCCATCAATTCTATCTCACCATTTATTAACACCAAAATGAGAGAAATATTTCAAAAGGTTTGATTGTTCAAAGATCCCAATTAATCAGACCCTCAAATGTAAAAGTCATTTGTTAATTTTTTCATGCTTATATTAAAATAATTATCTGAATAAAGTTATCTTCTGCTACATACCCTTCAGTATCTTCTGAATCATGGTTCCACACCAGAGATATTGGAAAAGGAACTGCATCTGTGATGGAAAATTCTCTAACTTTAAATGCCGGGGAAAGAATTGCACACTTTAAAAGAAAAAAAGAAAGGATTATCATAAGATCATGAATAACTGCACTCACCTTTTAATATAAAACTCAATTCAAATTGGATGGTAAGTTTAAATTCAAAATCAAAATTGCTTATAGTATACATCGTAAGTATAAAGGATTTAACATCTAAATACTATGCCAATCACTAAATATAGACTGATAATACAATGAATCTTAGGACAACAATTGTTGACTAGTAACAAGTTTCATAGGAGCTTAGGAAAAAAAACACCGGCTTTGCCAGAAATGCCCTGATAGCAATTTCAATTACAAGCTGTATCACTTTTGAATCTGTGTATATATCCACACACAGCTCTGTCCACATCACCTTTCAAATGTCTAAGAAACTGAAAAAGGATAAAACCCAAAATGTTCATATTTTCAGGTAGTTTTATGAAGGAAGCAGTGGTAAATTCAAATTTGAGGTGGAAAACACCCACCCCGACAGGTGGATGTGGACTAGTCACATAAAATTGACTAAATACACGACTAAACTAAAGGTCAATCTCTGATTAGCATAAGATCCTTCAAAAGAGAGGCCAAAATAAGCTCTACCTCTAACGAAATGATCAACTTCCAATGTTTTGGGGAATTAGAGACTCAGTTAAGGAGGTACACTCCATTATCAAGGAAAAAGCAAAACTAAAAACCCCATGATGCATCATGTGGGTACAATGGATTATCAGCAATAATGAGCACATATTCTTCCTTTTTAGAGCATTAAGTATAGTCCAGGGCGCCTGGGTAGCTCAGTTGGTTAAGCGACTGCCTTCGGCTCAGGTCATGATCCTGGAGTCCTGGGATCGAGTCCCACATCAGGCTCCCCCAGCTCTATGGGGAGACTGCTTCTCCCTCTCCCTCTGCCTGCCACTCCCCGTCTGCTTGTGCTCTCTCTGTTAAATAAATAAAATCTTAAACAAAAAAAAAAGGTATTAAGTATAGTCCTTCTAAAAATCTTTGTGTACAGAAACTCTTGCTATTTTGTATTAAAAATAATTGTGCTAACTAGATTAAAATTTTAGCCTAGTGATGGGTATTAAAGAGGGCACGTTCTGCATGGAGCACTGGGTGTTATATGCAAACAATGAATCATGGAACACTACATCAAAAACTAATGATGGTGATTAACAGAACATTAAAAAAAAATTAAGCACAGATACCCTGAAACTTCAGTTAAAACTACTTGGTGACTATAATATTATCCTAAATATAAAGATTAATTCTCTTATCAATAACTTCTAGTTTTGGTGCTTTCGCTTTGCCACACTTAAGCCTCTGAGTGGCCTTCTTACTTGATAAGCAAGTTACAATCCATTTGGAGGAGGAGGAAGAGCTATTTCCTAAAACCACTTGTTAACTAATACTGTCAGTCCTGCAAATTTTCCCCCGAATCATTTCCTCATTACACCACACTGCCGTTCTAATTCCCCTCTATGTGCTTTGGAACTACTCATTCGTGCTTCACTGTTGTGTTTCCTGTGTCCCCTCAGAATCATGCCTGCTCCTGATCTGCAGTTTAAAAACATCAGCTGCAAATTTCCTTTCATCAAAAATTTCCTGGATGCTCCAGATCTGAAGATCCTTGTTTCCCCACAGCCTTTTGGCTGTGTTTGCAAGTGAACTCCCTTGTGATAGCTAATGAGACACAGGGCTTTGCTTACTATATAACCCCACCACAATGAAATACGGCCGAAATGGTTTAAGGAATGAGCACCAAGAGAGAGAAGGGCTGAGCAAAAAGTACCTGTAGTGCACATCCTCTAGCTACTGCTTCATCCGCATTGAGGGTTGTGCTGATATCCTTTCCAAAGAATCTGGCAATTTTTTCTTTCACAGCTGGAATTCGCGTAGTGCCTCCAACTATCTCCACAGCACTCACATCTTCCACTTTGAGCTGAGTTTGTTCCATCAGAGAGTGTAGGGGATCTTCTACCTTTTGCAGGAGGTCAGCACAGAGTTCTTCAAATTGTGCCCTTGGCAAGCAAGAGGAACACTATAAATCTCTAGAAACATTATCTTAAAGCCAATATCCTGCCTGTTTTTTTTTTTTTTTAAATAATATTAACCCAGTGAATTTCTTTTTCCTTCAACAACCTCTCTTCCACATGGGCCAAGTTTAACTGTAATCTTTAACTTTTAAAAAATATATAAATATACAAAACAGGTGCAGAAAAGAAATGGGGGAAAAATTAGTTCTACTGGTATTACCGGGGGGAAAAATCACTTTTAAATTAAGATTGCCGTTTTAGGGGCACCTGAGTGGCTCAGTCATTAAGTGTCTGCCTTTGGCTCAGGTCATGATCCCAGGATTCTGGGATAGAGCCCCGCATTGGGCTCCCTGCTCCGCGGGAGGCCTGCTTCTCCTTCTCCCACTCCCCCTGCTTGTGTTCCCTCTCTCGCTGTGTCTCTGTCAAATAAACAAAATCTTAAAAAAAAAAAAAAAGACTGCTCTTTTCTTCCTAAAAGTTTTTTTGTGAAGCCATTATTCAATTACTGGCCTAGAAAGACTAAGAGATGATAAATACCAAAAAGACTCCATCATGAGGGCACTTAGCAAAGATCTTTTTAAAAAACTTCTTTGCATGGGGCACCTGGGTGGTTCAGTTGGTTAAGCATCCAACTCTTGATTTCGGCTCAGGTCATGATCTCAGGATTATGGGATCGAGCCCCACATCGGGCTCCCTGCAGGGCATGGAGCCTGCTGAGGATTCTCTCTCCCCCTCTGCCCCTATCCCCACTCTAAAATAAATAAAAAACAACCTCTTTGCAGAAGTGATCCTAGTTTCTAATGGTGTGAACAGTCCTAGTGTATAGCATATAATCTTGAAATGTGGGCCAAGACTCTCAACACCACAGCTAGACTGACATCTGGGTTATAGTTTCATCAGCAAGAAATTTCTTCTATTTAATCTAGCAGAATTCAAGACGCACCTGTTCATCTTTCCCGAAACATCTTTGTCATTCATAAAGCACTCGATATTCAGTGGTAGGTCTGTGCTGTTAGAGCTCATTAGCTTTTTCAATTTTTCACACTCTTGATACAGACGAAGAAGTGCTCGTATTTTGGATTTTGCATCCAACTTGTACTTAGTTTTAAATTCTGCACAAAAATATTCCACTAACTTTTCATCAAAGTTTTTTCCTCCTAAGAAAGGATCAAAGGCTGTTCCCAGTACCTAATTTAGTTAAAACAAATAATTTGGTTATTTTCAATCATATTTTTAACTAAAACCTTAAATACTGCTACTCAAACAACTAAAGACATCAAGACTTCTACTTAAATTACTACACGAAATCCAAGTTAAGAGAAATGTTACTACCAAAGCCACATGAAATGCTAAATTTCTGATTTACTTTTAATGAAACATAGAAGATAATCTTAAAAAGCTGCTCTTTCTTAAGCAAGAATACTTACGAGTATGCTAAGATAATTACATCATCATTATGGAGAGCAACCTTGGGAATAATTCCTTATTAATATTACCCAAAACTCTTCATTGCCAAGAAGCAAAGCTGCTTAAAGTAATGACAAATACAACACAATTAATATGTTTTGGTCATTGAGTTCCAATTTATGACTTTACCTTCAATTTTCCCTTGTTAAAGGCACAGGCAGACACTTGAAAAGCTGAGTGTCCCATATCAACAAAAACCACAATCCGAGGTTTCTCATCCAGGCCTGGAAGATCCTGCTTATAAATTCCATAATTCAAAGCCACTACAAAAAAATAATTGTTTTAATTCTTTGGTTCACATTTTCTTAGGAATTTCATCATTACCAAAATAATTATACATGCAGGAAATTTGACTATACTTCAAACACTTAAAGGTGAACACATTCCTTTTATACCTGGACTTTGAACTAATTTTCATGGCATCAATAACTTTTTCCCTTTCTGATTTTAGAACAATGCTCTATCACTTTTCAATGTATGAAGAGATGTGACAGAGAAAATGTACAAGGTGCGAATACAATGAAATGTAACCACAAACAGTAACAGGCTCATCACACAATACTTACATTTGAACCACAACCTGCCAGGAGACTGCTTATCCAAAAAAATTAAGAATTTAATATACAACTACAGCAACTGCAGTTCCTACCAATTTCTTTCCAGGTCCAAGGCAAATAACTGATCTACCTTAAAGAGACTGTTAGCTTTTTCTGAGCTTTGAAACCACTGTATTTCAAAATACATATACCCTAAGAACACATCTTTATCGATACTTTAGCTAGGAGTTTTAAAACACATATTAGATTTGGAAGACATATATATATCAGATATAAAACACGTGTATATTAGATATACACTGGAAAAAAGTCTTACTTGCTTTGTCTGAATACACTAAATTGTAACTGACCTTTTGTTCACCTGTAATCATAAAAAACTAGTAAAGGTTCTAGGAGGAAGGAATAGTGATTGCTTTGTTTACACTGTATCTGTACCTACACAATGCCTGGCAAATGATACAGTTTAAGTCAATATTTGATAAAAGATGAATGATCAGTGACTAACTGCATATATTCAGGAAATGTAGAAGGGAAAAACTTTTAATCAATGCTTATAGTCAGGGCAGTTGTGAAACCCCAAATCTTAAGGTTTGGGGAAAACTTAACTATTAAAACTATGTAAGGAAATAGAAAACTAAATCCAACATACATAACTCAAAAGATTAAAATATATATATAAAAGAATTTCTTAATGAAAACAGAATCAAACCTGACAAAGTGCCAATTTCTCATTAGACATAAGCATCTGAAAAGTTAGAATTCTTTAATTTCAAATCTAACCCATACTTTTTACTAGGCTATGTTTCTACAAGTACATGAAAAAGTGTTTGGTTATGATACCTGATGTGTCTTAACTCTAGCTTTGATAGTATATTCACTTCTACATAAAAATAGTTTTTTTTTCCTTACCAGCTGTCATGTCATTCATAAGTCGCAGGCAGTTTAGGCCAACTATTTGTGCAGCATCTAATACAGATCGCCTCTCAGCATCTGTGAAGAAAGAGGGGACCTACCAACAAGAAAGGAAAGAATTTTAACTTGTCTAGAATACACACATACAAATTCCTCACAACCACTTATAATGAATTAACAACAGTTCAACTAAATAGGTGCCTAGTGAAGTCATAAACATAAATAGAACTTTAGACTTAATGTCTAGCAAGTTCCTTAACTTAAAGAATAACTACTTGAAAAAAAATTGCCCCAAAATTGTAATCTTTACTGTAACCAAATTTTATTTATTTATTTATTTATTATTTATTTATTTTTATTCATAAGAGTCAGAGAGAAAGAGAGAGAGAGAGGCAGAGGCAGAGGAAGAGGGAGAAGCAGGCTCCCCGCCTAGCAGGGAGCCCGATGCAGGACTCGATCCCAGGACCCCGGGATCATGACCTGAGCCGAAGGCAGACGCTTAACCATCTGAGCCACCCAGGCGCCCTACTGTAACCAAATTTTAATCCAAAATAAAAATCAGGAGTATTCACTAAGATATATTGACAATTACTCCTATCTAACAGAAAGCTTTAAGCATATGAAATACCATTTCTAAGCCAAACCTAAATTTCTGACAGCTGGAGATCACAATGTTAAGTCAACATTTAATGTTAAATGTAATTGCACTACAGATAAATACTTCAGGAACTTAAAGAAAATACGGAGCTAATTCTGGCATATGCCACTGCCCTATAGTTTTGCTATTCATTGCATTTAAGCATTAATAGATGATGGGGGACCTTCTAATTCTGTAGACCTGTTAAGATTACAAAAACATTTTTAGGCAAAGCCTGTTGATATTCTTAAAAGAAAGAAAAGCAAAAACAGCTCAAGGGATGGGATGAAGTTTCTTATGGTGCTGACTTGTGCTTCCAGCTAGGTTAATTCTTTTGATCGCTTTCTAGGACATCACTTTAACTAGGACACTCTTCAGGAAGAGCATCTAACAATACAGCCATAGAATCACTTAACTAGAAAGTACCGAAGAGAAAACTTAGTACAGCGGCTTTCATTTTTTCCCCAAAGTATTTGTAGCTGTTTCAGAAAGAGAGGCAAGAGCAAAAGTCAGGGCAGTTGTGATCACCTTTCAAATCAGGAACACTGCTTTCATCAGTTTTCTATATTGCTTATTTAAAAAAAAAAAAAAAAGGAAGAACCACTGACTTATAACTTATTCTTTAATTTTACCAGATATTAATTTTTTTTTCCAAGAGACAGCCAGATACTCTTTCAGAACACCTTCTGTCTTGCAAGGGCACTAGGAGAAATTTTAAGCCTCTGCCTCTATTCTTTCATATCCTAGGGCACACTGCCATAAAAGCTTCTGAATGGTCTGGGCAGGCCACACTGCCCATGGTTATAATTCAAAGACCATGAATGATGCAGGGATGTCCATCACAGACTGTCTTGGTCCAGGACATAACCACAGATGATCAAAAAGAGACCCTAGACATTTGGGAGAGAATGTCCCGCTGCCTTTTTGGTATCCAAATAAAAGATGACTTTTGTCCATTTCAAATATTCCTTGATAACCTACCAACTGTCCATAAAAATCTTAAGTTTTGGGGCGCCTGGGTGGCTTAGTCAGTTAAGCATCTGCCTTTGGCTCAGGTCATGATCCCAGGGTCCTGGGATCGAGTCCCGCATCGGGCTCCCTGCTCAGCGGGGAGTCTGCTTCTCCCTCTCCCTCTGCCTCTCTCCCCACTTGTGCTCTCCATCTCTGTCTCTCAAGTAAATAAATAAAATCCTAAAATATCTTAGGTTTTGTCACTACTGGGAGGTGACATTGTAAAACTTCTAATGAACTGGTTCTCAACTGACAGCAGAACTCTGAAAACTTCCCATTAAGTATACAAACTGTCTAACAGTATGTTAACTGCCTTAGAACAACCCCCCATTCAACTAGTCAGTCTCTTTTTCCAAGGAGCCCCACAGGAGATTCTGATTTGCACCTCTAGTCAAGAACCTCTGCAACTTCTTGCTAAAAATACCACTCAAACATACTCTGAAATGCTCCCGAACACTATGCTAATGTAGTCCAGTAGGATTTTGATCTCTAGTAATAGAACAGCTTTCACACATTTAATACTTAAGAGTAGCAAAAAAGGCAAATTAAAATAAAACACACTGCCTTGCTGAATTCTACTTACTGAAATAACACAATCTGTTACTGGTTTCTTGAGGTTGTTTTCAGCAGTTTCCTTTAACTTAGTCAACAGCATGGCTGTTATCTGCTCCACGCTAAAGAGATGTTCTTCATCCATGTACATTACCTATATTGAGGAAAGAAAATAAATATTGTAGTACTTAAAGCTACATTCTAATACTAACTTCCAAATATTATTACATATTCTCTTCCAGAAAACCTTTATTGGTACAGCTGTTAGAAAAGAAGAAAGGAAAGAGAAGAAAAAAAAAGAAGAAAGAACTTTTCTTTAGAGATGAAGAGAAGAAAAAAAGCTAAGGCAGATTTTTCCTCTACCTAAAGTACTAGTCAAAACATTATAGGAAGTAGTAAATTTCCACTCTAACTGAAGAGATGAATCACTGTGACAAATATTATTTGGTGTAGATCCTAAGACAGGAACGTTTCTGCTAGTTTAAAAACAGATTTCTGGTTGTATTACACTATTGCTCTCCAAACAACTGCAACTGGGCATGGCTTGTTGTCATGGCTTTTGTTTGATAAAACAAGACAACTGAGGTTTTTTTTAACCACCCCTAAGGAAACCTATATTTCAATAATTATAAGGAAGCTATGAGACAATTTAAGTTATAGCAGTATATTTTTGAATAATTTTCAGACATTAAAACATACTTACAGTTTACAAGAACTTGACCAAAAAAAAAGATCTCATCTAATTAAGAACTTTAAATTAAATGTTTATTAGGAATTAAGGGTTTTGTTTTTTTTTTCCTGTAGGTGAATTCCATTTCCTACTAAGGACTCTAAGGTTGCCCAGTTATATTACCTTTATTCCAACTCCACCATTTTTCATTGGAACCAAATCATAACTTAAGTTTTCCTTCTCCTTTTGAATGAAGGGGTCACTGAATGCTCGGCCATGAAACCTTTTGAAGTTAGACACTGTATTGTTTGCATGAGTGATTTGCTGCAAAAGAAATCAGAAAATTTTTTTTCCTAATTGGAACATCTATCAGCTATTACAATTTTATAGAAAGTCAATTGTACAACTCAAACCATTAAGAACATAAACAACTTTCTCCGCAACCCCAGGAAACGCCAGAAGGTAGGCAGTGAGAGGGAACAGAAGGCAATACTGTCAGCACAGACTTTTAAAAAGATTTCAAAATCTGCAAGATAAAATCAAAGATGGTGAAACTATCACTAAAGCCCTGAACAAACCAAGAACTGCATCCCTTTATTTCATTCCTTTCCCCCCCCCCGAACTTGTAAGTTTTATACCCAATGTATAAATGAATAAGGAGATCTAGAAGCACTACAGGGCAAATTACATTTAAAAAAAAAAGTGGTTACAGTCTAATAAATTGCTAAGTGGTCAGAATAAACATTTTGTGCCACAAAATACATGGATTGGGACAATAATGGAATGTTAATTATCTATACCCAAAAGCAGAAGAGGCTAGAGGATAATTCAAGAAGTTTCTAAGTGACTTAATGCTTTCAACTGCATATTTTTGATGATTAGGCTCTGGATTGAAAAGTCCCACACTCCACAGTATGTTTCACTCACAGAAGTCAGCAGTGGGAACTTTATTTAAAATACAGAAATAATTCAAAGACTAAAAACTGAGACTTCTGAAATAATGAAAATCCCCAAACAGTTAACTATTTACTGTTTTCTCTGGTCCACTTCTTCTAAAGGGAGGACTACAAGTTGGCAGTACTAGTTTTTCAAACAACACAGAATTGAAGCATGTTTATATACTAAAATTCCCTGTGATTCTGAAACTGACTTGAGGTAGATCTAGTAACCTATAGGCTAGATCTGGGTCTCTATTGACTCTCTTCATATAATTACAAAAAATGCAACAGAATTTTATGTCTGGAATTATCAATATTCTAAATGGCCATATTCAGGAAGACAGTTACTTCACTAATGTGTTTCTTTCCTTTTGAGTATATTATTTTGAGTGTACATAGCTATTTTTCTCTTTTTTTTCTTCTTTTATCTTGTATCTCTTCCAACTAGCCTTATTATAGTCTTCCAGGGTTTAGAATTTTGTTTCTGTTTCAGCAATACTATTTTCTGTATTTAAAAGAACTTTTCAGTCTCTCTTTAAAAGCCTCTCAGAAGAGATTTCATATTTCATATTCTTTTCCTTTATTTTTTCCTCCCCAAACCTAAGGGCTCACCAGTTACAACGTGAGGCCCACGTGGGAGGGGCATACATAAATTTTCTAGTCACATTAAGTAACAGGCGAAATTAATTTCAGTAACTTATTTTAAAGCCTAATAGATCCAGGGTGCCTGGGTGGCTCAGTTGGTTAGGCGTCTGCCTTCGGCTGAGGTCATGATCCCGGGGGTCCTGGGATCGAGCCCCACGTCAGGCTCCTCGCTCTGCGGGGAGCCTGCTTCTCCCTCTCCTCCCCACTTGTGCTCTCTCTCATTATCTCTGTCTCTCTCTCTCAAATAAGTAAATAAAATCTAAAAATTAAAAAATTTAAAAAAAAAGCGTAATAGATCCAAAATACTGTCATTTCAACATGTACTCAATATAAAATATTAAGAAGATACTTTATTTCCTTTTAAGACTTCAAAATCTCATGTGTATTTCATACTTACTTCACATTTGTACATTGCAAGTGTACCTAATGGCTACCCTAATAAGACAGCACAGGTCTATATAGAAAGTTCTCCCAGTCTTACCTTAATTATTAAATAACCTGAAAATGCTTTTAAATACAGAACTTCTAGAAGGAATCTTTAACTCTTAAATGCGTATCATAAGAAATTACACATGAAAGAAGTTCAAGTGTCTTATTTATAATTTTTAAAAATTAGATAAATTAGAAGGTAGCAAAACTATTAAAAATTAAGGCTGGCAGATTAGAACACTAAGGTAGATCTTGGGAAAAGAAGAACGGAACAGAAGGAAAAATAGCCATCTAAGGGCTCATAAAGAATACTCACATTACATTTCTAAAACTCAAAAATATATACGCTTAGATATTTCATACTCTTGTATGCCCTTGAGATTTTACCTTGAAAATCTCCCCCTTAAAAATGACCAGAATTCTCTTAAAGAACATACCTGGTTTTTGGCTGCAACTCCAATTGTTCTGTTTTTTGATCCAAATGATATGACTGATCTAGAAGATATACAAACCGCGTGTCTCAAAACTGTTAAAAGGCATAGATGTGGACATCTTTAACTGACAAGAACATACAAATTTCTTACCCATGGGGGGGTGGAGGACAGCGTAACTATAGCACAACTTTGGACTCTAAAGCTTTGGTCAGATACTCAGTGGAAGTCTGCTTAATCGCTACTCTGAGAATCCAATCTAGGTGGCCATCTTACCCAAAAAAGTCTGCTCATGGTTCAGGGGGCATTTTCCAATACCTCAAGTACCAGTATAATTCTCCAGATGCCCAATCATTAGAAAGTGCACATGAACTCTGAAAATACTTTGAATAAAAGCTATCATTAACTTGGCCTTATATACATGATTATCAAAATTCATGGTGTAATTCCACTTCTCGGTTAGCAACTCTGTACAAATCTAAGTATCACTGTCATACCCATTGCTGTTCTATATATACACCACTGGCCTCTTTAGGATCAAAGGGTTTATATAAACCCAAACAAGTGGCCCTAAGTTAGGTTTTTGGAGTTTAAAAGCACAAGAGGGGGTCTTATATGCAAGACTCTACTTAATGAAGCCAACTAAAAATGACGCAGAGCAACGACCACAGCAGAACAGAGTTGAGAGAAAGGAGTGAGTAATTAGTTACATTAAGTCAGAAGAGATGAAAAATGACTTCTGTGAGACAGCCATCTCAGCAATAGAAATGGAATGGCAGCACAGAACAGAGAGAAACTCAAAGTCTTGTCAGGAGGAGGTAAGCAAATTAGGTTTTCAATCAGAGAGCAGGTAGGAGTAATAGTGTGATGAACAAAATGGGAATATGCGGAGGGCATTAAACACCAGGCTAAATCAACTTTAAATTTGCTAGTAAGGAAACACCCTAAATCTAAATTATCTGAGCAGGTGCTAAATAGCATCCTAAAAGCCAGAGAAGTGCTCAAGCAAAGGCTAGAACCTTCCAAAAACAGTGTATCATTCTAGCCTCAGAGTAAACTATTCACTTGCAGAACGACTTAACTCATTTTCCACACTGAAATTAATACTGGCCAATGCAAATGAGTCAAACATCTATTAGATCAAAAGACTAAAGGGAATTCCAAGCTGCCTTCGGTTTACCCTTTTTAGAGAAATATCTGTTCTCTTTACTTTCACAGTGGTCAATACAGCCACATACCCATTTTTTCCTACTCTCATCTGAACAGCTTTTCTTCCTTTTATCGGATCAAAGAGAACAAAGATGTAAACTGTACCTAAGCACGAAAGCCTGACATAGTGTCTTTCTTACTATACTCCAATTACAGAGCCCTTTACACAGCTAAAGAACAGACTAAATTTGCAAATACGTAAAATCATGAAATAAGTATTCCCAAGGCTACTCGTTGTCAAATATTTGCTTATTTTCTGATTTTCCATTCACTTTAATAAATGGCCATCTGTACTCAAATCGTGACATACACAGTCATTCTACCTTTGGGCCTTAATGTCTCATTCTACGCTTTTTATCTTGGGTTTAAGGCATTTAAAAAATAAACACCTACATTAATTTTCCCGAGAAGCAATTGTTTTCATTAATGTACAGGCAGGCATGTTTGCATGTATCATCTTCAGAAAATAAGCCCCCCGAAAAAGTTGCTTTAATAAAATGTTACCTTTGCCCACCCCGTGCCGCTATAGAATATTTAATTCAGTGATAACATTCATCCCCGAGTTCTAGCACAGAACTGTGCAATTCTCATTTTATCTCCTTTATTTAAACTGTGCAAAATTAATAAACTAGAACACGATTTAGGATTCCCCTTGAATGGCGCTCATAAAATGAGCAAAAGAACGTTTACATCTTCACAAATGATCCCAGGCACTAAGGCGGACAGCGTTAGCAACCAAAAGTGCGCACGAAGAGGTATCTATGAAAGGAGGGATTCTGCGGTCGCTAACAACAGACCGCCCGCTCACTGGACAAGCAGCAGCATACAGGCTCTGGAAGCTTCCAGTTCATTTCGAGATTCACAATGCGGAAGAAAAAGCTCAGCAGCCCCGCAACTGCGGTGCGCAAAGATATGCTCCGCGGGAGGGGGACAAGCTGGGGGCGGCACAGGCAGCGAGAAGCCGCGTGGGGAAACGGGGGCGGCCGCGGAAAGAGCGAACTGAGGCCTGCCAAGAAAAGGAACGAAATCGCGGGTTTGAGCGCAGCCCGCCCCCGAAGCGACCACCCTGGGCCACTCCGCTCTAGGACTTCTCTTGGCCCCGTGAATCGCCAAGACCCCCTCCTCTCCCAGTCCTGGCGGCAAGCCCCCACCCCTACTCTTGGGCAAGCGTCCTGCCCTACCCGGCCGCCGGTACCCAGACCCTACGGAGGAGCGCTCCGCTCCCCACATCGCCTTCCGATCGGCCCGGCGCTCCGCCGCCAGCGTGCAAGCCCCGGGTCCCCACGTTCCCCAGCCCCCGCCGGCTTTCTCTCCTCACTCCACAGTCTCTCCTAGCACCCCCGCAGGCTCCCACTTACGGGGTGCACCGGTCGCTGAACTCGTTGGCGATGGTCTCGATGCCCCCGGCCCGGGCCACCGCAATGTAGCAGCTCTGCGAGCCAACATCCAGCCCCACCACCGACATGGCCGGCTCGCGGTCCGCCTCCGCCTGGGCTCTGGGTCTGGCTCTGCGTCCTCCGACCGCCCGCCCGCTCCTTCCGCAGCCGCTTCTTGCCCCGGCCGCGCGCGGCTCCCGCGGAGTCCGACCGCTCCTCTGTCACTCGGACGGACACACGGACAGTCGGCCTGGCTGGCGCCTCCGGCTTCCTGGGGACAGTGGTAGCTCCCAGACGACTAAGCACTGGGGAAAGCGGTGATCGGTCTCCGCAGGTAGCTCCGCAAGCTCGGGCTGACTGCCTCGATCCGCACCCACGGCTCACCGGCGCGGCGCTGAACTACCGACCCAGAAGGGGAGGTCCCAATTCCTCAGCCTTATGTATCGCACTGATCAGAACTTTCCAGAATCTGCGGCATTTACTCACCGGCGCCTCCACCGGCCCCTCCACGTGCCACTTCCGCTTCCTTTTTCTCGAGCCTTCTCGAAAGATTCTACCCAATGGGTGGCTGGTCCCTCTGGGGACGGCCGCGGTTGCCATAGTGGCAGAAAAGCCGCCCCGGCGTTATTGGCTCAAGCCGGCCAGGCTGACCCACCTAGGTCCCCGCCCGCCGTAACCACAGGCTCTTTGCTGTCCTAATAAAACGGACAATAAAGAATGGAAAAATGGAAAATCGTAATCTTCACAATTTACTACTGGGTGATGGTATCCGACCCTGAGAGGCTGATCGGGCGGAGACAAACCCCACTTCTTCGGAGACCCTAGACCCCGAGGAGGCCGACCAGCTGTCAACAGAGCACGTCGGGAACCGTAGTCCAGCTGGTTGATGGAGTGCGCCTTGCAAGCTGGGATGTGTAGTCCCGGCCGCAGTGCGTGCCGGGACCCCGCTTTGTCTTGGAAGACTCGCGGGGGAGGCTGGGTTCCCTCTAGTGCTTTTGCGCGCATTCCCTAGCAGTGGCGTTTTGTTTTCTGTTTGTTTTGTGTTCTTTTCGGTTGTACGGATTACCCCTCAACTGGGGAATTATGAAATAGAAGAGGGAATTTCCGTTTAAGCCGCTAATAGGCACAAGGTGTGTGTTAAATATTCTTGTATTCGTCAGTCGACATTATATTCTTTCGTGGAATAAAATGTAAAAGGTTTTTTTGTTGTTACTGATTTGTTTTTAAGGGGAGCGTTTTTTAGATGTGGCGTAATATGGAAGGCTGTCTGTGGTATCACTTGCTGCTTATTTTTGATGTCTTACTTAAGCGGACCTTGTTCTACCCTGCCACTCCTAGCCATATTAAGTTTTGCTTCTTGGTTTGATCAGAAAACAGCTTTTGTTTCTTTCCCTGAACAGTGATGTTGCTATCAACTTGCTTTCAGTAAAGAGACAACTATGAAAAGAAAAGAAGTTGGCACTCTGCTGCTATCATCAGGTCTTTCATACACTTCTGTGTCTTTCAAGTTTTCCTGATAGCTTTCTGCTCACTTTCCCTCAGGCACAGAAAAATATAAGCACAGTTCAAAGGTGTGTAACTGGGTAAGTTAGGAGTGGTGACCCAAAGATAAAAAATCTGTCTTCTGAAGAGTATGACAACTCTTAGAAGGTTGTATTAGAGACAAGTCTAGGAGGCCAGCTTTTGTTACACGTGAAGTAAATTGTATGTGCTTTATGATCCTTGGCCTGGCATCTAGACGAGCTACTTAACCTTTAAATGCTTCATTAGTTAACTAAAGGTGATGGTATTCCTACCTTTGAAAATATTGGTAGCTATGATGATTTTTGTTTTGCCTTACAAAAACTTCTCTTGCCCGCACGTTGTTTGCATAACAAAATTTTCTATATTAGAATCCATGGAATCGTAGCATTTTTGAACAGAAATAGAACTTGGAGATTTTTTGGTCTTCTAACATTTTGTATATGAGGAAACTTCTGCAGAAAGGAGAAATGAACAGTTCTTGGTCTTTAGAAGTAGATTTGAGTCAGGTTCAAATCCTGGGCAATACTAAGATATTTTATAGCACAGCTTCTAAGAGTACCAGCCTCCCAGAGTTAGACTTCGTGGGCTTTAATTCTGGCTCTAGAGACTCACTACTTTGCCAGCTGTGAAACCTTGAGATAATTATTAAGCTTTCTTGAATTCCGCCTGATAGGTTGTATATAAGGACTGAAAATGTATATAAACCACCAAACATATGTCATTATTATGTGATAGCTGTGTAATCTTCCAATTCTTATTTGGGCCCCGGTTTCCTCATATGTAAAAATGGAGATCATACTATCTCCTTGGGAGTTTGGAAGGATTACATGTAAATAAAACATCTAGTATGGTAGCAGGCACTCAATAAATTGTAGCAACGGTAATAGTATTCAAGAAAAGCCAGTACCAGAACTTGTATCTCAGCTCACACTGCTGTGAATGCTGAGTTGTACATTTTTGTAGCCCCCTTTTATTTAACCCTATTTAACATTTTATATCACCTTCACAAATTTTTGGGACAAGTGAATAGGGAATATGAACTACCACATTTATTTTCTAATTAGATAATGCTACATTTATTATCTAATTAGAATCCTTGTTTTTATTACTTTATCATATTTTATTATTTTATTTATTACATTTTTAATACATATAATTTCTCACACTATTTGTCATAGTGTCAGAAATTTTAGGATGAAACTAAGAAGGATAAACATAATTCCAACACATCATTATTATGTAATTATGGAGCCAAAGGTAAACAAGAAGTTAAGGTGACTTTATCCTAAATCTGCTAGCAGCTATCAGTGCAGTTACTGGGGGTTTTTCCCCCATATTTGTCTTGGAGAACGAGAGAGTCATCAAAATCAGAAGCAGAAACAGCTCCCAAAGTACAATAAAACAAAAATGCAAAGACAAAAAAAGAAAAGCCCAAACCAGAATGTCATTCAGAGAGATAATGTGCAGTCAATATAAAAAAGTTGTGATGGGCTTCCTTACAAGGAAGGAAGAGATGGTCAAAACAGTGGATATGTAGGTAGAATAATGAACATGAAAGTGCTCGTGATCTTCAACTTCTGGTGTGAATCAGTATCATTGTGGCCGCCTCTGCATTCAGTATGGTGCCAGGTGCCGGGGGTTACAGAAGTAGATAAAACTTGTTCTAAATCAAGATGACTTTTGTATAGCTTCTCTAGAGTACCCATACATCTAAATGCTCAAATATTTGAAATCTCATCCACCTGAGTTTCTTTCAATATTTGCTTTCTAAAGGATTTTTTTCTTTTCATATATTAACTTGAAAATTATTCTTTGGAAGTTAATTAGTTCTGATAAAACCTATTTTGCCTTAATTTTAAGTGCCATTAGAAAGAATGATTACCTAAAAGTAGGAATGCAGGGAAAAATCCTGAAGGAAATACTGTGTTTTTTCCAACCTAAAAAGGATCACCATATTTTATAACAAATGTGGTTAGCAAAAACTCAAATTAGAGGATAATGTTCCTATCTGCCCCTCCAAGCTTACTGTGGACCACTTTCCCCTTGGAGCACCATGGCCTCCTTTCCCCATCTCAAAGCCTTTGTGTCCCTCCCCCCCATCCCCATGCTCTTCTTTGGGCCCCTCACTACCAGCTCCTTCTCATTCTCCGAGGCACAATTTGAATCTCATCTTCTACAGAGAAAGTTTCCTAAAGTCACCCAGTAAGTACCTCACTCTTCCCACTGTTTGCTTAGTTGTTAAGGAGAAGCTGATGCCAGACCCCGTGCCAAGGGTGGGCACTGTTTGGCTTAAGCCCATCAGCACATTCTATTCCCCTTGGCCACAGTCATTGGTTCAGGGTGGCCACGTGACCTACACAGTCCAATCAGGTGATTCTCAGTGTTACTGCTTAGAGCACTGGGGTGTGACTATTACCTGTGTGCCCCATTCCATCTCCCTTGCCTTCCCTCAAGCCCCATTATGTAAGGTTATGAGACCTCATGATTACTACCGACCTTACTGCCATCCAGAAAAGGAAGCTGGATGTAGATACTTGGATAGAAATTGGAGCCTAGGCATTAACCCAATTCTGAGACTCACCCTACCTCTGGATTTAAATGAAACCATATTTTTCCTTACTGTGTAAGTCAGTTTGAATTGGGAGTTTCTGTTATTCGCGGCTAAAAACATCCTCATTTCCTCAGCAAGGTAGGTCTTCCTTGACTATATTATCAAAAGCATCTTCTGGTTATTCTCTATTGTTATCCATTTATTTCCTTTACCATCTATCTATACCACACTCTGAAATTATAGTGTTTATTTATTTAGTTAGTTGTTTATTTACCTATTTCCTCTCTTTAAATTGTATGGCTCAGGAAGGCAGTGATCTTGTTTTTCTTCTTCACAGTGCCATAATAGATGGTCAATAAATATTTGGTGAATGATTTGGATGATAGAAATATATCACAAACTTATTGGGGAAAAGGGACATTTGTCAGCTTTCCTCTAATACAGGGTTTCTCACGCTTGACACTGTTGACATATTGGGCCAGATAATTCTTTGTTGTGTATGGGCTGTCCTAGAGTGTTTAGCAACACCCCAAGCCTTTACCAGTCACAGAAAAAGGCAAAAGTGTCCCTCATTGAGAACCACTGCTATAATATCTATAAGATTTTATTTAAGCTTAACTGGCACAAATAGAGCATAGATGTTTTTGAGAGAAAATAGAGTGATGTTTGATTCCGAAACCAGAGGCTAAGAGATGGAAGAACAATAACCTCACTATGACTAAGACAGCCAGCTCCATCCTGTGTTCCATCCAGTAGGTGAGGAGGGATGGTGTGTCTGCCATTTAGCTACAGGACATGCTTGCTGTTGTGAACGCCTGCCCTGCCCATTCCAAGGAGTTGATTTTGACTGTGATTGAGAAGTACTTTTGTGACTATAAATTAATTCAGACAAATATATGTAACTCACCACTCTTCTTTGCCTTAGTTTTCTCACCTATAAACTATTAATGAGAATTCCTGCTCTGTTACTGAAAATTCTAAAGCAATTCTTATATCTATGGTTACCTTAAGCATTCTATGATAGTAGAAATAAGAGATTTCATATTTGGATAATCGGGATCATTGTTGCCCTACATAATATTCTGATTTTTCACCCTGAAAGCTAAATTTGTAGGCCAGAAATAGATTCCTCTTTTTTTTTTCTCTTTTGTTTCTTCAGCACATGTGAGAAAAAGGAAAGGAAGAAGAATTAGTATCCTGTGTCTTCTCTCTTCTGAGCTATAATGGGGTAAATTCAAAGTCCTTGTACATAAAGATGAGTCATTTCACTACAGACTATTTGGATTTGCCCTGTTGAAAGAAAGCATCTTCATTTCAGTGGGAAACAACCACCAAAGTGTTACTGTTTTTGTTTTTTTATGAATCAGAATCTGAGACCAGGATGTGTCTGAGTTCCAGGGATGTTAGCATTT